CTAATAGAAGAATCGTTATGTTCAAACAACAATAGAAACTAATAGAAGAATCGTTATGTTCAAACAACAATAGAAACTAATAGAAGAATTGTTATGTCCAAACAACAATAGAAACTAATAGAAGAATTGTTATGTCCAAACAACAATAGAAACTAATAGAATAACTGTTATGCCCCCCCCCCAAAAGAAACTAATGGAAGAATTATGTCCAAACAACAATAGAAAATAATAAAAGAATTATTATGCTTAAACAACAATAGAAACTAATAGAAGAATTGTTATGTCCAAACAAAAATAGAAACTAGTAGAAGAATTGTTACGTCCAAACAACAATAGAAACTAATAGAAGAATTGTTATGTCCAAACAACAATAGAGACTAATAGAAGAATTGTTACGTCCAAACAACAATAGAAACTAATAGAAGAATTGTTATGTCCAAACAACAATAGAGACTAATAGAAGAATCGTTATGTTCAAACAACAATAGAAACTAATAGAAGAATTGTTATGTCCAAACAACAATAGAAACTAATAGAATAACTGTTATGCCCCCCCCCCCAAAGAAACTAATGGAAGAATTATGTCCAAACAACAATAGAAAATAATAAAAGAATTATTATGCCTAAACAACAATAGAAACTAATAGAAGAATTGTTATGACCATACAAAAATAGAAACTAATAGAAGAATTGTTATGTATAACCCTTACAAAAGGAAATATTAAGCTGTCACAATTAGCTTTTTTTTTGTTTTCATGATGAATACCGATTACAATTCCAAGTTTTATACTGGACTTCCAAATGTTGCTACATTCAATGTTTTGTTGTAGTATCTCCGACCTAAAGCACAACAGCTAGTCTACCAGCGTGGAAAGGAAACTAAAGATCGTGTTGGAATTTATCCAGTCGAGGTCAATTTCATGCGTAAGTGAAACTCAGTACAATATTAATGTGTATTTGTGGCCCAAAAGGGGGAGATAGTTCGCACTCCCTCATTTGTGGCGATGCCTGTAATTTACTTTCCCAGTTATAATTTTTTAGTTTTGTCTTTTTGTCTGTTATGCTAATTTTCTTCACAATACTGATATATATATAGTTAAGTTAAAAAGTCGAATAAGGTGATCTATGCTCAAAATAAAACAACAACAAAAATCACATATTAAAAACTTTAATATCAAATTTTAACAAAAAAATTTTAATCGGTTTTAAACTGTTGACAGTAAAATAAAAAAAGTTTAAATTTTTTCACAATAATAAGAATGTCCAACGCAGTAATTTAAAATAGATATATATATATATATATATATATTTCTACTATCTTAGAAATATACACAACTACAGTAAACAATGGCATGTTGTTACTAGCTTGGAAATAATTTATCATGAAGCACTCTGCATAATCTGTAGCTAAGAAAGACTTAACACACGTTATGCGATGTTGCTTTTAACACATGTATACAACACCCACTCTTAACTCTTCTTCTGAAACAACCAACATTGTCAATACGATCTGGAGTGCCTTAGAAAAAAACATGGATTCGATATCATCATATGTCAGATCTAACAAAATGTCGTTCTTTATAGAAAGAAATCTAAGTTACTAAAACTAGCCATTTTAATTCCGGTTTCAACATTTCATGCTGTGTTATCAGAGAACTATGTTCACAAATATATGCATTTCATAAACAAACACAAACCTCGAGTATTTAAATAGAGCAAACTCAAAATGAAGAGATAAAGTAAATATTTCACAGATACATATACAAAACAATAGGCTTAGAGGAAAGTTATAAAAAAAGTTGGTACTTTATCTCAAAATACCTAAAAATAAGTTTAAATTGTATATGAATACTGATCTTTTGCTTCAAGCACTTCGAGTATATTCCACTACAATGGAGTTATCTACAAACTATCCTTAAAAAAAAAGTTATTGTGCAGGTCATTTTATACGGCGTTTTCAGTCTTTCTGTCAAAGTGTCTCTCGGAGGAATGATGCAGGTGAGCGCCAGACCCATGTTCCGAGTCGTAACGGTACCTACGCCTTTCGGCTGCCGCTAAATGACAGCACTTATGAAAGATTGCACCATGTCCTGCGACGCACTGTTCAAAAGTACGCATGGTTTTCACACCATAATTTGGCACTTTCTCAGCTCCGTGAAACGCCATCTTACGGTTGTGAGCACGATTATAATTTCGCATTAGAATGCGAGCAACGTAAAACTTGACGAAACAGTGAAAACCTTTGTCTCCCGCTAACTGTCCCAGCATGCAACAAGTCACTTCCTTATCCTTCTTTGTACCTTAAAAAGAAAAAAAAAAGTGCTTTAAAAATATCAAATAACAGGCGAGAATATGAATTATTATTACAGTTAATCCATTGAGGGGCAGGTGTTATTTCTGGCTTCCTACATGGTATAACTAAAATAAAATTTATTGGAACTGGTCAAAAGTGAATTAAGGAACGTCAGATTTATATAAGTAATATTTGAACATATCTATACTCGAATTGAAAATGTGTATATTGTAATAATACATGTTATGTTTGGAGTTCACGAACTAGGGGATCGAATGGAACATTTTCCAATCACTTACAAATGTCAGATTACTAATTAATTTCAGTAGCAAAACATTTGGAAAGTGTAATTTTAATTTAAGGCAAAATAAGCACATACCAACCCCACCTGTTAGCGACAGAAGATCCGTATTTGAAGACCCCCTTGTGGTAGTGTTGGGAACGTCTGTAGCAATCTCATCAACGATTTCCGACTGGATATTGTGCTTACTATATGTTGTGGTAATCTCAAAATCGGCATCCGACTGATTACTATAACCACTAGTTGTCAGATTGGAAGTCCTGGTGATCTCGGAATCGACATTCGACTGATTACTGTAATCACTAGTTGTCAGATCGGAAGTCTTGGTGATCTCAGAATCGACATTCGACTGATTACTGTAATCACTAGTTGTCAGATCGGAAGTCATGGTGATCTCATGATCTACATCTGACTGATTACTGTGATTACTAGATGTTATTGCTACTAGCAGATTCAGAGGATCTGCAGTGACTCTGGCATCTATAATTGACCTGTTAGTCTGTACAATAGATGTCGCTGCTGTTGTTAGGTTAGAAATTTTCATGTCTGTCTTGGCGCCGACCTCAGACTTAACACTTTCACCATTTATCCAGCCTTGCTTCTCGAGATCTAGGTGCGTCAAATAATCTGAAATATAAAAGTAGCATATGAAGAATCTCTTTATCTCTTCAACAGAGCTGATTTAGTTGGAATATAAATTGGACTTTTATTTTTGTTGATTTGGGTACTTAACGTAAATAATACTTGCAAAGGAACCCCCCCCCCCAAGGAAAAATGAACATTTAATTATAAATATACCTTAACACAAGTTGGACAACAGTCATACAATCGGACACAAGTATTTTTGTCTACAATATCCCAAATCTTTGGTTATTTTTGATAAATGAATGTTATTTTAATAAAATTCCAACTGTGGAGTAGTTTCGTATCAATGTAAACAGTTTATATTAGTTTTTAATTACTATTAAAGCAACGCTTCCTTTGAACATTTTTCACTTTTCACGCGCGGTTTCATTTACTATCTTGTATTTGAAATAATCTACGAAAAAGGAAAGAAGGTTTGGTTTGAATTTCGCGCAAAGCTACACGAGGGTCTATCTACGCTAGCCTTGTCTAGTTTAGCAGTGATACGCTAGAGGGAAGACAGCCAACCTTTGGGTTACTCTTTTACCAGCTAATAGTGGGATTGACCATCATTATATAACCCCCCCACGGCTGAAAGGGCGAGCGTGTTCGGTGTGAGAGGATTCAAACCCGAAGATTGCGAGTCGTGCGCCCTAACCACCAGGCCATAGGAAAGAGTAGAAGTCGTTAGAAACACATATTTTCTTGTCTCCTGGATCGAGCTATTCTACAAACTTATGAAAGTAAAGGGCAATACGTTATAACACGTGAACCACACTATATCTGCTATATCCAGTGCCGACGAGGTCTTTCGTCAATACCAGGACTCTTTCTGTTTTTCACGCGATAGCTTCAAGTAAAGTTGGCGTGACTTTTGACCACGAGTCAAGCTCAACACTGAGGTATCACGTTTTAGATCACGAGTGAACATCAACACTTTGGGGTAAATTAGTTTGTTTGTTTGTTATGGATTTCGCGCAAAGCTACACGAGGGATATCTGCGCTAGCCATCCCTAATTTAGCAGTGTAAGACTAAAGGAAAGGCAGCTAGTCATCACCACCCACCGCCAACTCTTGGGCTACTCTTTTACCAACGAATAATGGGATTGACCGTCACATTATAACGCCCCCCCCCCACGGCTAAAAGGGGCGAGCTGTTTGGTGGGACGGGGATTCGAACCCGCGACCCGCAGATTGCGAGTCGAGCGCCTTAACCACCTGGCCATGCCGGGCCCAGGGTAAATTAGTACAAAGTATATCCGTACGACATATTTTACTGCGAGGGCATTAAAGAAACAAGGCTATAGAAAGCCATCTCATTATCAAGTGAAGACCGGAAATTATGTCGTTAGTAAAATGGAGCATTCGTAAACATGAGATATTATTATTTCAAAAATATTACAAGATGAGGTATTTCCGTTTACCACAAATTTAAATGCACAAATAGTAATGATAAAAATATAAGCTTTATGTTCTTTGTATCGTTATTATCAGCGTGAATTACTGATCGATGAGTGAACAGATAACTATTCTACACCCCCTGGAAATAAAATACTGTTACGTCTCCGTTCGTTAGTTAATTTTCCGTAAATTCGTTCCGACGAAACTT